GGATTGATATTTTTATTGGCATGAAAGATGGCAGAAAATTGAAGCATTTTACAGTCTAAAATAAAATTAGATACATAGATGTGCACGTAGTCGTGCTTAAACTGGGAATGTAGTATGATCGCTAGACTCATATTAAGGGTCCAAGTACAGTGATGAGCTTTAAAATATTACCCAATTATCAATGATCAATTATGCAATTTCAAAGTTCATTTTGTCAATTGATTAGCGATTAAATGAGATTTAATCTAATCATATGCAAGATTTTAAATTTGCTACTTAGCATATATAGCTTGCGTATGAAATACGCATTACCTAAAGTTTCTATTTTTTTTTTTGACACATTTATTCGACATTGCCCAATGATTTGCATTAATCACCCGGATGAATCTGATCGGTCTATTAAAGAAAATACGGAAAGAAATTACGAATAATAAACTGATGATTTAGTAGAAAAAATTCGGTATTAATTAAAAAATGACTGATTTCATATGAATCGATGAACTTCATGATGAAATAACAGTAATTTTGAAAAAAATTTAAGATTCAGAATATCCAAAGAAGCTCGCAAAAGTGGATCATTTATATATCATATTTTATTGGTCAAATTAATTTCGTCAGCAGTTTCATCAATTGTCAACGTTTCGTCAGACGAAAACCCATTTTGTCATTGCAAAATAGTTTCGTTATCCATCTTTAATTGAAACTGTACGTATAATTAATATTGAAAACATACTATTGGTAATAGGCTCCACTTGTATCTAACAAGCGTTCAGATCCGTATCCGGTTATGTAACGAGTTTGAAAGACTGCTATTGGCTACAGGTGTAGTTTAGTTATCCGAAATTTTAACTTTAATGCCAATTCAAATACCAGATCCATTCGGATCTTTTTTGTGGAACTCTAATCATTGATGCCATACTCTTTATATATTGCATCGACGCCACAGATCTAATTGTCGTCCTAGTACAGAGAAACCTTCCTAAATGCACTCTGTCTGGACCAAACCTTTGGTAATGTATATTTAGAGAACAATAAAAAAAAATCGCATTTATAGAATAATAAGAAAATGTGCATTTATAGAGCAAGTATATATTTATGCCCGAATTTGAGTATGCATTTAGAGAGTGTGTGCACTTTTAGAAGTTGCACTTAGAGAGATCTGACTGTATTTGGCTAAATGGAGGATGCATTTAGGGAGCTTAATTCAATTAACAAATCAGCAACTACCTAACTATTTAAGTGTACAGACACAAAACTTAATTCGATGGTTATTATTGATGCAGATCACCATCTAAAGTAGTAACTAACCTTTCACTAACCCTATGTCGCGGGTTTCACCTTTCATAACTTAATTACCGAAACCCCTTTCACATGTGATCTAAAAAAATTGTCAATGAAGATAAGTAGTTTCTTATTCCCTTTATGTATTGTATCACCGCCAAATTGGTACCCAATTACAAATAAATTAACCGCTATTGTCTAAATCATTAACGTTAATAAACTTAGCCGTTTTCAAAAAGATACAGATCACTATATCACGACATTTCCAAGATTATAAAAATATCACTCAATTAGAAATATCAAATTTGCTGCAATGCACGGGTAAATTGTAGCCGCGTTTATTTGGTTGTGAATAAATAAGGACTAGCGACAGAAAGAAGTAAAAATTTGATACACATATATATAATTAAGGTATAAATTTTGTGGACGTGCACCAAACAAACATTATTGTAATCCATACACAAGATGAAAGACATTTTCAGATTAAAAAGTAGATATTATAATAATGAGAATTGGTTTTTTCGTTAATTTTTGCAATAAATAAAATCATAAGCGAAAAAAAATAAATAAAAAATGATTACAGACTTATTCAAATTAGCACACGACGAACCGAAGTCGATTAAAATTTTTCGACGTTGTATTATTATCATATCTCTAGGATTATTCATTGCTGTATTTGTAATATTATGCCTTGGAATTCGTGATGAATTGCCTATCGTAAATAGATCATATAAAGCAACTAATAGTCTGCCCATACCAGGTAAGGATTAAATTTTAAACATAAAGTTATAATAAATCCAATGATGCATAACATAAAAATTTTAAATCAATTTAGACATTTATTTTACTTATAGTTATAATTTTACCATTAACTGTAAAGTTTCGAATTCCACAGGCAAGTATACCATTTTACATTCATAATGAGTTTCACATTAAACTCATAGCAAATCTAACTTGAATTTATTCTAGCGCTAGGGAATCAAGACTGTACCAATTTTGTTAATAAAGCCGCATTTGTTGCTTCTACGTCTAAATATGCCGCATCATTTGTACCAAATTACAGCGCAAATTCTTTTACGCGATTTACGCTTACAATAAATATCACAGATTCAAGATACAACATTTCTAATCAAGATGATTACATGGAGATGCATGCTTATGATCACGGTAAAATTTTTTTTATAAAATTAATGACAATATCTTAATTACTTTATAAGTTTAACCGTACTGTAATAAGTTTTAAATATATGAATTTTAATAATTTAGAATATGATTCAAAACCATTACAAACTAAAGCGCAGATTGAATTCGAAGAATCACTTTTATTAAAAAACATGTATTTTTTTGGGCAACCTAGAAATGACGTAGCTGTATGTATATTTAATGATTTTAAAAGTGAAGAATTTGTAAATTTATATATATTATTAAAAAATTTGTAGCATTATGAATGGGTATTTGATAGATGTATAAGGCATGCTCTGATTACAGACGTTTTAAGTTACTTTGGCAGACAAAGATATATTAATATACCTTATATTGAATCACATATGTGTAAGAGTTAAAATCTTTTTATACTTGTAAAAAAATTTTTTTTAAATATTATGATGACTTATGTTATTAATGATTAATAACCACAGCGACTGTTGCAACCGCGAATTCGGATACACGTAAGAATATTTTCATGTATTAAAAAAAATTAATATGCTATAATTTGTTTTAATTTTCTAAATTAATGATTGATAACTGCAGGAACAAGTGATACTTATGCAATACTGCAATTTCTTTTATACCCACCCTTCATTGTGATGGAAGAAACTGAAGAAAGGTAAAAATCATCCTGAATAATTTATTGTGTGAACATTTGTTGTCACTTCTTAGTTACTAATAATTTTACTCATTATGAATGGTAATAATAGGAGCAAAACTGTAAGTAAAATATTTATGATATATTGTTTAAGTAAAAAAAAACCTCAGCAATTATAATTTTGAACAAATTCTCAGTGCTTATCATGATTTTGTATGAATAGATCTTGAACTTGCTCGGTGTTGCTGGTGGTATTTGGGGTGTTATTGCAGCATTTTATATATTATTATTTGGTATGTTGATTATTTCTTTAGGTTAAATTGTAGTTATATAATTTAATCACTTATTACTACTTTAAAACTATCAGGACCTGGTTTAATCTCCCCATGGGGCTTTGTACAAAGATCAAAGTTATATAGAAATCATTATGAAAAAAACATATTGCCATCTGTTGACGAATCAGACTCCACTGAGAAGTTTAATTCCCCGATGGAAAAACGACTCTTTCAGTTAGAAAAAAAACTTGAATTCTATGAAAATTATATTATTGATAATTCATTATTATCTTCTATTAAAAAAGAT